TGCCTTGTCTATATCTGCTGCAACCTTTTTTTTTTGAAGAAGATTAGCCCTGAGCTAACATCCACTGCCAATCCTCTTCTTTTTGTTGAGGAAGACTGGCCCTGAGCCAACATCTGTGCCCTTCTTCCTCTACTTTATATGTGGGACGCCTGCCACAGCATAGCTTGATAAGTGGTGTGTAGGTCTGTGCCCAGGATCCGAACCAGTGAACCCCAGGCTGCCCAAGCGGAACGTGTGAACTTAACTGCTACGCCACCAGGCTGGCCCCTGCTGCTGCCTTAATTCAAGTCCTCATCATTGTCACTTGGATTGTTAGAGTGATCTGTGTTGGTTTTCCTGTTTCTAGGCTTTATCTTCTCTGTTGATCACTCGTCTGCTCCTAGAGGATTTGCCTGAATGATAAAGCTGATCCTGTTATTCCCCAGCTTGCCCTCTTTTCTTGGTTCTCCATTGCCTACCAGCTAATGGTGCAACTGCTTTGTATGGCGTCTTTAACTTTATCTCGTTAGTTCTTTATGACCTATGCTCTTATACAAAATTTCTTATTCCTTGGGTGGATAATATTATTTCACACATGGTCCTTTCTCATGCTGTTTTCTTCTTCTGGAGTGGTTACCCTTTCTACCTCCCTCCTTGGCAAAATCAATTTTTACCTTTTCAGAGCACAGTTTGCCACCTATTTCTCTGTGAAAGCTTTCCTGAAACCCCTCCAGACAGATCTGATTACTTTCTCCTTTGTCCACTCATTGTCCTCTGTATTTATTTCTATTATTATACTTATTGCACTGAATTTCAGCCACTTGTCTTCCTATCTGCTTCCCATAATCGTATGATAGGAGGTTCTTGAGCCAGGGACTCCAGCTTATTTCTTTGTATACCCAGTACGCAGCACCATGCCTGGTACCAAGTAGACATTTAATACGTATTTGACTGAAAACAGGAATACAGAGAGAAAGCACCGTGAATTAGGGCAGTGAGAGGAGGCTTTCTAGAGGAAGAAGAATTTTAGTTGGGTTTTGGAGGAAGGGTTGGATTCAAGCAGGAAGAGAAATGGCATAAGCAAAGATACAGAAGTGGAAATATACCTAGTATATTATGAGGTAGAGTCTGATCCAAGTGGAAGATTTGTTGGAGAGAACTGGATAAGTAGGAAAATTAGGTTCAGCTCCCATTCTGGTGGAGTCTAAGTGATAGATCATAGAGTTTGGATTAGGTTCAGCTCCCATTCTGGTGGAGTCTAAGTGATAGATCATAGAGTTTGGATTTGCGCTTGTTTAAACTTTCCCCCAGTTTCCCTCAGGCCTAATTGGTGTGGTGAAGGATGTGGTTTAAGGAGAGCCTGGCTGTCGTACGCGAGGGAATTGCAGTGAGAAGGCGATGAGTCCCCTTTTAGGTATGTTGGAAGTGAGATGATGGTAGAGCACATGGTCGTAATAGGAAACTGGAGATGTGCTGCTGGATCTTGGGAGAGTGGGAAGAGGGGTTGAGGAGTAGTAAACCTTGCTTACTTTCTCTGTGTTAGGAAATCAGAGAAGGATATATATGAAGGCATCTTGAGGAAGAGGTGGTTAAATGTGTAGAAGTTATTCACAAAAAGAGTGAACAACTAAGAAAAAGAGAACACCTAAATGCTTTCTAAATCTAGCTGCTATTTGTATGCTTCGTACCCTCCTGCGCCCTCTCCAGCCCAGGTGGCAGAAATCAGCAGCTGCTTCTTTGGCTCATGATTATAAAGGTTGTCTTTGGAGGGACAGAGCAAATGGTCCTGGTGAGATAGCTTGGCATGTCAGAAAAGAGCTTAGCATGTCAGAAGAGAGCTCTCAAGGGCTTTTACCGTTTTTTTTTTTTTTTTCATGGACTGTAATGTGACATTTTTATTTTAGTACATATTATATGTATTTATTTGCATATTTACTCTTCCCGACTTCCTGTCAATTCCCTAAGATGCGTTTTGAATAGATGGTAATTTTCATTTGCATCCGTAATGGGTAATATCTGAGTATTTATTTCACTCTTTTACCTGTGATTCAGTGTTTCCGCCTTGGCCAGTTTCTGCTGGCAGATCTGCCCTGACTGCGCTTTTACAGACGGGAGAAGGCCTGGGAATTCTGACAGAGACCCCACGTTCTGCTAGAGCTTGGGAATACAGCTCGAAATGCTTCAATTTCTAGCAAAGAATTTGCTGTCTTAATTTGCTGATTTGGCCCACACTTCTTTATGCTCTTCCAAATTGATGGGAAAACCATATACCATGTAAAAAGAACAAATCATAGAAGATCTAAAATTACTTCTATAGCATGCTTTCAGATTTGTATCATTTCAGGTTGAGATGACTATTTAAATCTGGCTCCTTTTGATGGCTTTTGATACACTGGCAGTATTTTTTTGATTGTGAAAGAAAAATAGTTAACTTGGGATTCAATAAAATAAGGCCAGCTTATGAAAGTTTTTGGTATTGCTGTACTGAAAGAGAGGATAGAGTTAAGGGACAAGAGATCATTCTCTAGTTGAGGGCTTGCTTTTTAAAATATGAAAGCTTTAGAAAGCTCCCCCTTCCTTTGTGTCTCCCCAGAGTCCTTGATTCCTTTTTGTGTGGTTTGCTTTGCAAGTAACTGGGGGAGAACTTGTTACTTTTGAGAGGAATAGAAAGAATATTCTACCTAATTTAGGGTCTCAACTGCTTGACGTTTATAAGTCTTATGTACAAACCTAAATTAAATGTTTTTGGGTGCCTTCTCTTTCTCAGTTTGTTACTGAAGACATGTATTTTATGTAAGTCAAACCAAAATATCAATGAGCACTATGCAGAGAAACAAGTTTGTCCATTGATTCCAATCTCTGGAATGTAGATTCTTTTCATTTTCTTGGCAGAAACTAGCTCACATAGTTCAAGTTTTTCTCTGTCTTATTATAATTCTCTCACTTAACCAGTGCTTGAACTAACATTTTGTACTTAATATCTGTCTTGAATCCCTTAATCTCATTCAGAATATTTTGGAGACTCTGATTTTCTCCTGAACTAATTTCTACTTGTCAGTGAGGAGAAATATCATATATTGATTAAGGAATGATATTCTGAGAGGCCACCTTTCTCAAGTTTTGTATCTTGGGATGATGCTAAGTATTATTAAAAAAAATAAAAGAGGGGGCCAGCCCAGTGGCACAACAGTTAAGTTCACATGTTCTGCTTTGGCAGCCTGGGGTTCACCAGTTCAGATCCCGGGTGCGGACCTATGCACTGCTTGGCAAGCCATGCTGTGGCAGGTGTCCCACATATAAAAAGTGGAGGAAGATGGGCACAGATGTTAGCTCAGGGCCAGTCGTCCTCATCAAAAACAGGAGGATTGGCGGCAGATGTTAGCTCAGGGCTAATCTTTCTCAAAAAGAAAAAAAGGCGGGCAGGGGGCCAGCCCAGTGGTGTAATGGTTAAGTTTGTGTGCTTCACTTTGGTGGCCCAGGGTTTGTGGGTTTGGATCCCAGGCATGACCTACACACCGCTCATCAAACCATGCTGTGGCGGCGTCCCACATGCAGAATAGAGGGAGACTGGCACAGATGTTAGCTCAGTGACAATCTTCCTCAAGCAAAAAGAGGAAGATTGGCAATAGATGTTAGCTCAGGGCCAATCTTCCTAACAAAAAAAAAGAAAGAAAGAAAAAAAAGGAAAGTTACATTATGAAATACTTTTGGACGTGCTGGGTTAAACCAAATTAAAGAAGTTTTCTTAAATGAGGACTTCTCCCAGTTTTTTTTTTTTTGTTTAAGGAAGATTAGCCCTGAGCTAACATCTGCCACCAATCCTCCTCTTTTTCCCGAGGAAGACTGGCCCTGAGCTAACGCCTGTGCCCGTCTTCCTCTATTTTATGTGGGACGCCTGCCACAGCATGGCCTGACAAGCAGTGCCATGTCTGCACCCAGGATCCAAAATGGCAAACCTGGGGCCGCTGTAGCAGAACGTGCAAACTTAACCCCTGAGCCACTGGGCCGACCCCTGGACTTTTCCCCATTTTTATTGTGTTAATGCACATTGTATTGTATGAGAGAAGGGTACATGACTTGCAGTGTTTCCCATTTATTTGACCACAGACCCCTTTTTGAAGGAATCGTTTTGTCATGCTTTGAGGAACTGTTGGTGTAGTGGAAACATTACTGATCTGGAATTTAGGAGATGGCACGCTGAGCCTCTGATTTACCGCTAACTAACCTTGTGACCTCAAACAAATGCTTTGTTTTCTAGCCTAGGTTTCCTGAGTGGTGACTAAGTTCCCTTCCAGCTCTAGTACTGTCTTGTTTAATACTTTGTTGTTGACTCTGCATAGTCACACTTTCCACCTCTTTGTAGCTATTGAAACCACACCATCATTTGAGTATATTTTGTTATGCTGAGGAGATTACACTTCCTTTTCTCCAAAAGTGCAGAAGACGAAAGCCTTTAAAACTCTGTTTTCCACAGATTAAGTTCTTGAAATCCTGTTGGATTAGTTAGTTCAAATCACTCTATTAAGATATTTCATTGTCTGATTACGTTTTATTGGTCTCTTATATTCACGTAACTGTTTGTAAGAGCCCCATAAGCTTAAAGGCTCCCAATCCTCCTTCCCCAACCACAGTGGTTTCAGTCTGGCATTTATCTTGTAAGATATAAATATTTAGTCACTTGCATTAATTTCTTGGCTACTTAGGTGAAAATGGGTAGATTTCATTTTTGTGATGATTTATGTGGGTGTATTTGAAAAGTTTTATGAGGAGTTTGACTGATTTTCCTTTTTTCTATGGAAGCTGGGAAAATGAATAAGATGGGTAACTTCAGGGTTAAAAATGTATACATTAATATGTGTAGTTTTATTTCTGGGACTAACACTTTATGTATTAAGGCTTTTTGTTGTAGTATTTTCTTTAAGATACCAGTTTGTTCAAAATTAGAAGTTCTTTGAATGCTTATTTATTTTGTTTCTTTTCTTTCTTTCTTTTTTTTATGTGTATGTATGTCTCTATCCTAGGCCCAACAACAAAGAAACCTGGATAACATCGTCTTGCAACAACCCAGAGTAGGTAGCAAGAGAAAATCTAAGAAAGATGCATATACAATTTTTGATACAGAGATAGAAAGCACTAGCCCCAAGTCCGAACAGGATTCAGGAATTCTGGATGTTGAAGATGAGGAAGATGATGAAGAGGTAACTAACTGGGAAAGTGAGACTGGTGTTAAGTTTAAATATAGTATATTTGAGATGTGATGAAGAATTTATCCACTTAACACAGCTTATGTGATCTTCTGTATTATATATCATTTTGAATATAAATGGGCCCCAATTTAAGGAAACTGAAGTTGCACTAAGATATCTTAGATTATAATTCTTTAGATTTTGAAGCACTCATCCATTTTTTAAAAGTTTCCGGGTTTTTTGATTGTGTACTGACTGGGTGCTACAAGAAAGGAAGATGAGCGTTTACCTGACCCAGAGAAAGAGGTCTAGGTGACCTCCGCTGAAAGTGGAACGAAGTTACTGGAGGCAAATAAAAGATGTTACTTTAAACAGTGGGGAGTAAAGAAGGGGATTTCTTAGCCTTGAGAAATGGTTCAGATTGAAAATACAAAGAAGTTCAAGAAAGTTGAGAATATATTTCTGGAGGAAATAAATGTATGAGTAATTATAGGGAATCTGGGAATTTTGTGACATATCCATAACCTCTTAGATTAGTTCTGTGTCACTTTCAAGTAAAGAATAAGATTAAGTGGCTTAACTAGTACATATTTTTATCCTTTTTTGTTGTTGGAGGTATATTTAATGTGTTTTTAAAAATAAAGCTATTATGACGTTTGACATTTCCTGTGAAAATGTTTCTCTAAATACTTATCATTTATGTAAACTGGATCAGGTTCTCTGTGAGTGTAGTGCTTAGGAGTCAGACTGCATTCATATCTGGCTCTGCTGTTTTATTTTTAAGAGTTATTGTTAATAATCGTATCATGTATGTTTTAAATGTCCACTGACACGAGCGAGGAACCGTTTACTCCTGTACTCAGGACCTGTTTTGCCTTTAAGTGCTTGTCTCCTTTTTGTTGTTTCATTTCTCCAGGTAAAACTGAGTTCACTGTCTCTAACCCATTTTTGTCCTCTGTTGTACCCTTACCACTCTTCTTATGCCCCTCTCCCACCAAAACTAGCCCCCAGAAGTTGTCACACTCTGACTTTGTAATCTCAGGTAGCTGTCTAATCTGTTGGAACTTTAGTGTCTTCATCTATCTGGTAAAGACGGTAGTCTCTAGCCCCATAGGATCGCCAAGTGCCTGTACCGTAAAAGGTGGTCAGCGAATACTAGTTTCTGTCCTATTTTCGTTGCTCTTCCTTGCTGCTCTTCTGTATGTATCACTGCCTGTCCTTATTATTATTCTTCTTTCACTTCAGAAATTGAATTGGCACTGTTTAAACTGGGCTGAAAAGCAATTAACCAAGTTAGTTATGTGTCTAACACGTTAGCATTGTCTGAGCAACTATCGCAGGTGTAAAGTGTTCATTATTGCGGGGATACATTTCTGCAATATCACTGGATGATTGTATTTATAATTTACACTTTATCAGGATATGTTTATTATGTAAATTAGTAGTTAACAATGTGTGAAAGTTTCATTGTAATCTCTATCGTACTTGGATAACAAGAACTTTTAATAGCTCCAGGAAATAGAACTAAGGAAAAAGTACCAAGTATTTGATACCCATGGAAACAGACAGGGCCAGAGAAGACTTAATTTTCCTGAATATTTTCTAGCATTCTCTCTTGCCTGTAATGACTGGTGTGGTAGGATATAGATCCACCCTGGAGACTCGACTGTTAGGTATTAGGCCTATCATTGATGACGAGTTGTAGTAGTAGTACAATAAAGTGGCAGTCTCAAGAAAGACCAGTTAATGTCTTTTATTTACATTTTGGGTGCCTGTCAAGGAAATTAAATTCTGTCAGGCACTATGGCAGAAGTTAGACATAGCCTGTGCCCCTGCATAGTATACACCCCAAAGAGATGGTTAGATGATAAGATGACAGAATGAAATATCTACACGGTTCTCATATATCACCAAGAACCTTCTGGATAGGAGCCATTCTTTACCATTAACTTACTGAAGATCCTGTGCACATCTCTTTTAATTTTTGTGCCATATTTCTTCTTTGTTTTATCTTCTGAGGTCCAGAGAAGATGAAGAAAGTGGGACTAGTAAAGTGTCTTGGGAGTGCCTCATAAAGGAAGTATTGTAAGAATATATTTGGAAGTTAACATTTTAAAGTGGTCCCATATCCCAAATCAAACCGTCCCAATACCAAATTCATATTAGCAATTTGCTGATTGAGCTCTTACAACAAGAATTCAGCACTTCACTGTCATCTAATGGCATCCTATCTTAGAAAAAATCCTACCTTATATTTATTTACTTCTCAGTTTGAATCTTCTTCAAGTGCACATTCTTAATCTCAAACCTCATGTAGAGAATTATTTATTTAGATGTCTCCAAACTGGTTTCTTGGCACAGTTCTTGCATGGTGTGAATAAATTCTTCAGATAAGGTCTTTTGTGACCCACTGTGACGTTCTGACCTTCATTCTTGTCATTCTTCAACAGACCTCATTGAGAGCAGCGTAAATAGTTTTTGAAATATTTTGACTTTTAAACTGTGGCGTAGAATCCTGTAGGGCAGTGGTTCTTAACCTATTTGGGGTCTATATTACTTCCAGAGTTTGATAAAAATATATGGAGTCTTTTCCCAGTAAAATGTACATATGTGCACTCTCAAAAAGTCTTGCATGAAATTTCAGGGGAATCATAAAACTCGTGTTGCCCCTAGGGCCCGAGGTAAGAACCATGTTGTACAGCACTGCTTCTTGAACTTGAAGGTGCATAGGAATCACCTTGTAAGTGTATTAAAATGCAGATTCTTATTCTGTAGGTTTGGGGTGAATCTGAGAACCTGCATTTATAGCAAGCTCCCAGGTGAGGATGGTGCTTCTGGTCTTGGAGCACACACTGAGTTGCAGGGGTATGGAGGACCACAAGGAAGCATTTTTAGTGCATAAAGAAAATAAACCCATGAATGTTTGAGCCTCCTATTGATTTCCATTCATATGTCTTAAAATTTTTCCAACGAGTGTAGTACTTGAAGAGAAAGTTATATTTTGTTTTCCAAAATCTACTGCTTATAATAGATGACCAGCGTTATTGTTTATGAAATTTTATGATTCTGATTTAACATACTTAAGTTTAGGTATTTTTTTATTCTCTGAACTAAGAAAGAACTTTTACCCTTTCCTGTGCTTTTAATGGAAGTATGCCTAATACTTTGAGTCACATGACATTCATAGACTATTTATTGTGTCTTCAGTTTGATGATGCTTAAGAGGAGACCTTAGAATGAGGTGGGTAGGGAAACCCAAACACCTAGAACATAGCTTTGCACATGGTGAGCAGAAAGTTAATATATTTTTAAACTGAAATAAAGTTTGTGTCAGAGATGGGAAAAACTTAATAGCTTGGGGAACCAAAGATGAAGTCATAGTAGTAAATTGTCATCTTGGCTGAAAAACCAACTCACATGTTGAACCAACTGGCAGAGTCAGTCTCTTGATTGCTGAGAAGTGTTGCAGGAAAAGTATTCCCCTTAAAATTCTCTCTCTATTTGTGTTCTATTTTTGTCTGAGCTAATGATGAAAGGGTCACCTTAATTAAGGTAAGGTTTTTTTGTGTGTCATATATTAAAGTTGAACTATATAAACTGCTGATATTTGACCATTTTTGATTTTCAACTTACTTCAGTTGATATTTAATAGAAATGTGTATGATTTCAGGAATTTGGTTTGAATCTCTATATCATCCTGTGCTATAAGCAGATGTTATTACTCTTCTCTAAAAATCTAGATAGGACTTAAAAAATTTTTTTTGGAAGTGGTGAACATTTTAGATTGAGGATGTATTTATGGATCTAGATTCATCAGGAATATAATTTTTGAGATAACTGAAGACAAAATACAAAGAACCCCTTAAAGCGATGTATTATTTCTGATGAGGGGGACGATAATTCCTCTTGAGGGTAGGGTTGTTGTGAGAATTGACTGAAATAACGTGTATAATGCTCTTGTCACAGTGTTTGACACACACAATGCTATCAGTATATAATAGTTACTATTATGGCATTATGACTGTGGTTTTTTGGGGAACAAAGATGAAATATAAGTTGATACAGTTTTTGATAATGTATATTTGCATGGACTGATAGGCATCATCTACTGTAAATAGAAAGTCTACTGAAATAATGCAGTGTTAAGTAAGAAATTGTTTGAAAAACCAGGGCCTATGATTTTTTCTTTGTTTCTAGGTTGCTTGAGAGCTTCTGCATTCTTAAAACACTTCATTTAGTAACACACTTATGGCACATCTCATATTCTAGTTTGTATCTCTCTTAATTTGTTTACACTCTGTTAGAGAGCAGTAGTCACCATGTTATCCATACAACTCTTCATAGAGAATGGGTCAGGTAAATAAATATTCGTGATCAAATGATCCATGTCAGGTTTAGCTCTTAAGATTTTGGTGCCTCTTTTGAAATATGGAATTAGCAGGGTAGAATTGCTAATTTAAATGCAAATGTCATGTAATATGAAGCCTTCTGAAATGTCTTGATGTTTGTGATACTGTACTAATTTTGAGGTAACAGGATGAATTTGTTTGCTAGGGCTGCCATAACAAAATACCACAGATTGCATGGCTTAAACAACAGAAATTAATTTTCTCATGGTTCTGGAGGCTGGAAGTCTCAAGACCAAGATGCCAGCAGAATTGGTTTCCCCTTCGGCCTTTCACCTTGGCTTGCAAATGACCGCCTTCTTGCTTCTCCTCACATAGCCTTTTCTCTGTGTGTGTATGCCCTTGGTGTGTCTTTCTTTTATAAGTTCACCAGTCCTATTGTATTAGGGCCCACACTTACGACTTGATTTAACATTAATTACCTTCTTAAAGGCCCTGTCTCCAAGTATAGTCACATTGGGTGTTAGGTATAGTCACATATGGATTTTGGAGGAGACACAATTCAGTCCATAACACAAGTTGATTGGAAAGAACACAAGATTTGTATTTATAGGGTACAGGTTCTGTCAGCTTTGTGCTATTGGAGCAAATCATGTAATTTCTTTA